GAACTAGCAACTCTCCAGATTATTGGAAGAATTTCCCAGACATAGTAATTACCATAAAGAAGAAAAAGAGTGTATGTCATTTTTTCCTTTTTGTTCAGAATGTTTTCAATTTGGTTCAGAAAGGCAGAGAAGTGTTAACTATAACTAGAATCTGACAGTAAATTATTCAGATTATCACTATCAGTATTACAGGTTTAGAGGCTGGAAGTTATTTCTGACACAGAGCATGTCTCAGACAGACAAGGAGAAAGAAAGGAAATAAGATCTGTGGAGGAAAAGGAGGAGATTTTTCTTTAAGACAAGAGCTTATTAGAGTTGGAGGAGATATGAGAAAGGAGGGAGGTGAAGTATTTCATGAAGATAGGATATTTCAGTTTATGATGGAGGATCAGGAGCAAATCCACAGCAGAGAGGAAATGTGATTCAACAGACACTTTGGGTGACAGGACGGAGCCTTTGGGTGAGTTTGTCTGGAGCTTTCCAAACCAGCCCCGTCATACATATTCATATCAGCAGAACACATGCGCTTGGAGACGAGCCGAGCGTCCTGTAACGACCGCGGTCATTAACGACACCATCAGTGTAACAGATTCTCCGTCAACATTAGCGCCTGTCCTCAGGCAGCTCCGTCATCTCGTTTCCTTCCAGATTTATTGTCATCCTTAACACACTTTGTGTTCCAGCAACAAGGTACAGACGGCCACATTTGGCATTATGGACACGTAGCTGAAAACAGGGAGCATAGACATCAGCAGACACATCAGCCACATATGATTGATGAGCAGTATTGAGCAGCTGTTGCTATGTCACCTTATACAGCATCACACCAGTGGGAGGGGCACATTTCCAAGGTGACCAATGAGATTACTTGGCCTAATCTAGATGGGGAAAAAAAACTGCAACACATATAAAACTGGGAATGTACTCGTAAAAAAAGTCCCAGGACATCACTTCTGCAGAGGGCGCGAGGACAATACTCTCGTAAAAACAAAACAGTAAAAATATAGAAATCAAGTTCTGGAAGTGAAACAGTATGAGTGAGCAAAAGCAGTAGGAGCAGGAGGGAGGAGGAGGAGGAGGAGGAGGAGGGAGTGATGTGGAGCTATTTAGCTGTTTACCCTCCACAGTAATGAGACAGGGCTGGAGTGAATCACTCCATTAGGACGCTGGCGTAGTCGCAGGTTTATCAAGTCGTGCACCGACTGCGTTCCTTTAAATATACAAACACTGACATTAATTAGATCAGAGGGATTCCCGGACAGACCTAAATGACAGGATTAATAATCCGTTTCTAATGCTTAAGACACAAACAGGAGACTCCCTCTGTGGTTTTCGCCACAGCACTAGAGAGAACTGAACCCATTTCTCAGAAACACAGCAGGAAGACAAAGGACTGGACTCTGATGTCATAGAAGCTTTTCTGCACAGTAACACACAATTAATGTTATAGAGAACTACAGTGAGTATATCATTACACAATTACCAAGTAATTAAAAGTCTTGCATTTTTAATTAAGTAACTTGTTAAAAATTCCATGTTAAATGAACCCCAACTTTAAATAATAAAGACTCTGTAAGGACAGTACTTAAATGTATTTGTTTCCTTGTTCTTTGTTCAGTTGTTGTTGATTCTGGCGGCCCCTGTGGACAAAAGCGGTAGTGTTTCCACTGCCTGGTTTCTTTGATTTCAAGGGGAATCCCACCAAATCCGACCCAGTGGCAAACATTAAGAATAACTATATATAAATAGCCAGTCTTCTCACTGGTGGTCTTGCTTGTTTGTTTATGTCGGTCATATAAAGGCATTACTATTAAATTAAGACTGTTTCATATCCAGTTAAAAACTCCTAATAGTATGCCTATCCAAGATATGATATAGATATGATGTCTGAGTAACTATGACAATGTTGGTTGGTTAGTTTTCGAGAAAGGGCACGGATTCCGATTGGGCTCTGCAGTAGTTAAACAAATAAGATTACATATGAATTATTATGGACCTTCAGAAGTACGACTAGCTGTTTCAGAATCAGAATCAGAAACAC